ATGGTGGTGGCAGGTTATGTAGAGCGTCTAGAGTGGCAATTTAAACCACACAGGTACTCCGCCTCTAGCCTTGAAAGCAAAAGTGAGAAGTTTTTACGTGTAAGCGACTATCCCATCCCCGCCCTTCCTTCGCCCCTCAACCTCGTTGCACAGTGAACGCGTGCCAATACGGAAACAAGGGCTGGATGCGGTTTACTGGTGCTATCTTCTGAATGAAAGCTTATAGTATTCCTTGGAGTACATTCACATCTCTTAACGAGGTGTTGGGATGATTATTTTTTAATCTAAATTAAATTTTCGGTTTCATATTTCAGCAGTTTAATAAGACGCATATGCAATACTTGGATGTCTATTGTGGAGACGTTTTGCCAACCAGAGATTATCAATCCAATACGGAGAACAATACTGCAGACGGTAGAAGACATGTAATAGTTTGAGGTGATCAGTCTTTCAGCCTAGAAAGGTGTTCCATCCAACAGTCTTGAGGAATCTCAAGTTTATGCCCTTAGATGTACATATATACTGAAGGCAGGAGAGGTCTAACCTAATGGCATGACCTACGTCCACTAGTGGGCTCCATCTACCTGAGACATCGTCTTCACCTTTCCTGCCTTCAGTTTAGTCTCTATATAAAAGCATCTACTTCAGATTCATCAAGACTGCTACATGGAATACCACTTTTCTGGGCTGAGGGAATGATCACTTCAAAGTAATTATCCACATCTTCTACCTTCTACAATTGCTTCATCAAAGCTGAGGGACTGATCACTTCAAACTACGTGTCTTCTATTTTCTGTGGTATTATCTGTATTGGACTGATAACGCCAGTGCTTAGCGTATCGTCCCGACAATAAAGTTACCCAAGCGTTGCATATGTTTCATATTCATTCGCTTGTCAGTTTTGTAAACTATGAACACCGGTCAACCAGTGGGATATCTATAATAAAGATACTAATCAACAAATACTATCGAATAGCAATCGAGGAAGGTTTGCCCTGTCCTGTATCCCAGCATATATCAAGGTTATTTCTTTTTAAAGTCTTAAAATACGATTGCCTTCCTCTCTTCCACCTTCTCCCCTTTTTTAAAAATGCACATTAACTTTCAAAA